CGCGCATCCTAGCCTAGCCATCGACCGCCTTACTCGACGGGAAATCTTAGCTAGCTGACATAGGATCGGTGAGTTCTGAGAAAAGCATGTGGTGGTGAAACGAAAACACAACGTCACCAGACAACGAAATCCACAACAGTTGGTTTAGGCCAACCGGTCGGTCACGTAGGGGGTTGTAGATTGGGTGGCTGGCTGTCTGGTTGGGGTCTTCTGGATGGTAAGAACAAATGACCGCTGGAGATAATTGGTGATATGGTTCAAAATCATTCTCAGTGATGGTGCAGCAGATGCATTCACTCACTCTTTGTGATTTGTCATATCCAATAAAACTCTATTGTTCTTCCATTTTACTACTACTGTTTTTCCCTCACTCACACTTGTTTATTATCTCCTTTTTGAACCTCTCTTTACTCTCTTTTCTTGATTTGTGTACTATATGGGGGAGTGTGGCAACTGGAACTGCCGCACATCTATGCAAAGTTCTACGTTGAAACAAGTCAGCCAGTCACTACTACTTTAAGTTGGTTTCTTTCATTGACCGACCTATTGGACAATCAATGTTAATCGCCATAGAGAAGTTCATCTCTTCATGATGTAAATAAAACTTCCAAAAATGCAAAACAAGTAGATAGAAATGTAATTACAATACCAATACTTGAAGAACGATTATAATTAGACGAAAATGTGAAAGATGACAAAAGGTAAATACATCACACTGCGAATGACCTTCCACGATGTTCCCAAATTTCACATACCAGTGACTTCTGTACTTCGAGGACTATAATTGTGTAACCTACACCGAGCTACATAGCTCAACCAAACAGTCAGTGACTCCATGGATTCCTGCCATGTTATGTTTGATCACTCCAAGTAATACTCTCCACAATTCAATGCTATTTCAAGCAAATATATCTAGTCGAAACAATCAATCGTAAACATGAAAGCGCGCATTCCAGGACGTGATCGGAGTCTACACACGTGTTTAAGAAGGAGTGGCAGTCTTCTACTGGCCCCCACCAAAGATAGCCCGTTTGAGTCCGACGTTAATTCGGTGATGTAGGTCACCAGAATAGGCAGTATATCTCTTTGTGCCTGAAGTTAATCCCAACTAGGAACAGATAATTATCTGAAGACAACTGTAGAAGATGACCACCGTCCTAGGTTCGCCGGCAGGCAACTCCGTATCACAAATATACTTTTCAGTCTGGCACAACCTCCCTACTTGGGTAACCAAGTCGCCAGCTAAAATGACTACTCCTGCATGTTTTACACTTTGCAGCAAACTAGACAGTTTTTGGTAGGAGTCATTCTTTAATTCATTCAAAATGCAGTCTGTCGGGTGGTAAGCAGAGGCTGGCTATGCTATGAAATGACACCGATGGGTAGCGTAGTCCTTTCTACGTCAAACAGACCGCACACATATGACTATCTACTGGGATCCAGTCAATAAGCGATTTTTCTGCCTCAACACTCAATGTTATCCCTAAGCCTACAAGTCCTCGCATATCCACAGTTCAAACAATCGGTAGGTCAGTATGCGTAACACATAACACTACTCATCTCATAACAAACAGCACCAGAGCCACATTCACTAGTCGCCTCTCTTTATCTTATACCATACAAAGTAATGAAACATCCTTAGCTTAAAAATACACTGACGAATACAACTTGAGAAATATCGAACTGAATTAACTAATTGAAGCCGTTAGGCGGCCTACGGATCCAATATCCAACATCGTCTTTACGGGCTAGAGAGACTGACTGGCTGGTTTCAACAAAGAACTTTGCACCTATGTGTAGCATTTCGAGTCGCCACACTTCACTTAGCACACAAAGCAAGAGAAGAAAGTAAAAAGAAACGCAAAATAGAGACAGTAAACAGAGATGAGGCAAAAAGAATAGCAATATCGAAGAACAATATAGTTTCATTGGGTATTATAAGTCACAAAGAGTGGATGCATCTGCGCCAGCCATTGAGAACAAGGATTTTGAGCCATATCACCGATTGTCTCCAGTCATTGGTTTTTACCGTCCACAAGACCCCAACCAGGAAAACTACACTTTCATACGTGGCTCAAAATAATTGTCGCGGATTTCATTAACTGATGTCATGTTTCCGTTTGACTACCACTGACTCTTTTCCAACCTGAACAATCCTATGTCAGCTAACATTGACCGTCAAGGAAGGCGATGGCTAGGGAGGCATGGGTAACACAAGTCCTAAACATCTCAGTCGATGTAACTTCAGTCTCGTCTATTGATTTTCCCTCCTTACCTAGCACTCGACCGATGACTAACCTCAATATTGCTCACCCTATTATACCACCTCACACGGGAGATAGAACTCAGGCACCTATGATCAAAGACCGCTAGCCAGCCTTTTCATCCCTTCCACCCCCAATGGCCAGGTCTCATAGCCATAAAGGAGGACGGAAAGAACATCCTTTGGTCGGTAGCCGGATAGAACGTCTACGCCAGAGACGGCGTAAACTGGTATACGCGAAACTAGCCTTCTGTATCCGTGCTGAGTTTCAGTCACTTGATTTCGTTTGAGGATCAGTTTGGTCCCACTGAAGTTTCCCTATGGAACTTCGTCATTTGCTTTGCTTGTAACTAGAGAGATAATGTCCCCTGTAATTGCTTAGTGTCTTGCTGAAATTTACACATTTCAAAAAAGTTAAACGATGAAAATCTGAAAAGTACAAATATATACTCCTCTATGAATGTTCTGATTGTATTTCTCGTTTAAATATGTAAATCACTCACCTTTTCACCTAGTAAATCCAATTCCACACTTCCAGAAGATTTTTCTGACGAAGACGACAGCTTACCACAAGAATCTGGATATGCCAAGGTACATCGAGTAAGCTCAACTGCATACAATAACCAAAAAGGCATGTAATTTTCTGAAGACATAATAGATGGCACCGTAAGCGCATGACCCATCCATAATAATATAATACAATATGCATCCAAATGTACAAGACTGTTGGGTTTTTGTTGACAATGAAATGACTTCAAATGAGCAGACGCCTCCATATTCAAATATTTTAAAAGACATGCTCGAGTCATACCAGCTTGTGGGAGTAGAAGTAACAAATCAATTTGTACTTGTTTGTCATTCACTTGTTCAGTTACAAAATTTGAAGCATTTAAAATTTGTGAAAGAAAAGATCCTAATTGAATGGGTGGAGAGTTATCTAAGTCTAATTCACAATTAGTATTCATAAAATTGAATAAATTAGGAAAAAGAGCAGGTCTTTTCATTTTATCACCAATGCCAGAAGAATTTACTTTCTGAGACGAATTACACTGTAGTGGAATAGACATTTCTTGGTGAGAAGTGCCATTAGGTAGTATGTCATTCGATTTTATTACTTTCTTTTGTTCTGACTCTTTGTCATTTAATGGTTTAGAATCAGGAAGAGATTCTGTTTCTGTTGGAACAGGCTCATAACACAAAATGTCTCCGTTGGACGGTGCTTCTTGATCATTTACAAGTTTTTTAACAGTGGGTGGACGATATCGGCGAGTGTGTGGCGGTTGACTGAAGAGTTGTTCAGACGGTTGCCAACCGAACAAATGACATGATTCACCACCACTGAATGCAAGATCAGGCTCTTGACGACTCCATAGACAAGCGAAATGACGTAAACGAAGTGCACGGAAATTAGAGATTGAAAAATTATCTTTTTCAATATTTTCAGGATGAATTCTCCAAACATTGGCTGTACCGTCAAAGGAAGCGGATAATAAGAGGAATGGATCGTGTGGAGACCAATCTAGACATGTGATTCTGTTGTAATGTCCTTCTAAACGAGCTAAACTAGTAGACAGTTGAATAGGCTTAGAGCATTCGCCTTGATTAAGGTAGTTAATTAATTGAATTTTGAGATCTGTGACAGTGATAAAGGTTTCATTGGAACCTACAGCCAACCAGTAATGATCTCGTGACCAAGTTAAACAGTTAACACACTTGGAATGATTCACAGTACGACAAATAAAGACAAGTCGTCTAGACTCCTGCCCCACCACCTCCTCACAATTTAATGATTTTGAACGTAAGAAACCGTAAATGTCAACTTCACCTGAACGATAACCAACAGCTACTAGACAGTAAAAAGTATCAGCAATTAGATCGACCCCCGGTAGTTCAGATTTACTGACAAGACGGAATGATATCTCACTACGGATCAATGCTTTCCAGTCTTCATCTGTAGTATCCGGAAAAGGGGGGAATTTTGTGCTAACATCAATTGGTGGACGACTGCATCCAAAATGACAGTAAACTTTCCCCTTACTTATGCTGTAAACGTAGAAAGAAAACTTAGATAAGGCTTCGTTATCCTCGGTGGAATTCTCATCTTCTTGCGCAATTATATGCGTTGTTGAAGCGCTAGGATTATCAGATCTCGAATGATTTTCGCTAGTATTCTGTTCACTTTTATTTGCCTTTCTACGACATATATCAGAAAATAGTAGAGGCCCCCAGGCAACTCGATATACAGTTGAACCAAATGCATACAGCTGCGGTTTAGGCTTTTGCGATTTCATTTTTCGTAGCTTATTAATATCTACAATCTCCACACAACCTGACTCGGTGCCATAAGCAATAACATTCTCAAACTGCCGTAAAGGATGACAAGACAGTGTGGTAATAGAAGATGATTTGCATCCTAGAGGTGATATTGAAACGAACCTCTCTTTGTTTTGATTATCAGAAGAATTTCTTTCGCCAAACAATTCTGGTGCAGGAAACTTCCAAAATAAGATAGAACCGTCTGAAAGACCTGCAACTAAGGGACCATTGCTAAATTCAGACTGAGCTAAAGAGCAAACACCTGCAGACATCGTAGGTACTTTAAGGATCACTGACAGGTTAGATCCTTCCACCAACTGCCAAATAATCAAAAATCTATCTTGACTGAAAGTGATTACCAGTCCTGGTGAATTAAGAAGGTAGTGCATTGAGAAAATTAACATAGAATGTCCCTGACCGTCAAGCAACATAGAATTAGGCGTTCCTTTGCAATCCCAGTGAAATAATCCACCTCTTACACTTGAAAATAAAACATTCACTGACGAATCACTTCCTGGTGTGTAGCAAGCAGATATCCATGGAGCTCCATTTTGTTCACTTTTCTGGTGTTGTCGTCTAGCATTTCCAAATTGTTCACGTAAATGACCGGGAACTTGGTAAGATGAAGTGCATTCCGAAGTGGTGACATTCCATACCTATTTACAGAAATCAAAACAAATACTACGTTAGGAAAAGTGACACCACATTGCATATGAATATACTAATATATTACTGGTTGACAGACAGGTGTCAACACAGCACTTTGAACAGATGTACAGCAGTTCGAGTTGCCGCACTCCATGAAGCACACATAGCATGAGAAGAGAGTAAAGAAATATTAGAAACAAAAGTGTGAGTAGGAAGAGAAGAATGTTATGACGAAAGAACAATTGACTTTTATTGGATATTTTGATAGTGTTATTACAAGGTGAGATTATCTGAAAAATGTGATGTATTTGCGCCATACACTTCGAACTTACTTGTCAAGTCGATATATATGAAAAAATTAAGGGCAATTAAATCAAACAAAGTGACAAAACACATAGGGATTTAAGAATGATTAACACAACGTTTGGTAATCCAATCAAATAAGGACTACCAAGATAGGTTAAGAGTAATAATAAACTGTTTTCGAATGCACAGGGACGGGGGCTCAAGTTTATCAATAACCACAGCCTCAGAGTATTTCAATAAGCGCCCTTGACTATGTTTTATAGATGACCTTAAAGGATGAGTTAAAATCAATCCTATGGTTCATCTCGATTAGACGTTCAGCTATAGACGAAGTTGGTAGTCTGACACCTGCGCCTATTGGTTTTCCACAGTTCATTTGTTTTTCTAACCATTTCGGCATACGCTCTCTCACCCTCACATACAAAGCACGATTACTACTCCCTATGTATGTGTCCACACACACACACGCGAAAATTGGTAAATATCAGGATGTGACATGATCACTTGTGCACATTTGAGGTTTGCAGTGGAGCATATTTTTGGCTTTCTCGATAGTTACAAGTCGGGCTGCATAATAGGTTCTACGGACGACCGAATTCAACCTTTGTCTCAAAATCCTACTGTTTATTTTCCCGTTATATGGTGATTTGACGAAGACGTTGTTAGTCGAAGTGTACGGCGCGAATACATCACATTTTTCAGATAATCTCCGTCTTCTAGTGACAGTATGCAAGTCTACAAATGGGACTGTTTTAAATCTACTGGACATGACAAATCGCAGAGTTAGTGAATGTATCTGCGCGATCACTCAAAATGGTTTTACGACAGACCACCAATTATCTCCAGCGGTCATTTGTTCTTACCATCCAGAAGACCCCAACCAGACAGCCAGCCACCCAATCTACAACCCCCTACGTGACCGACCGGTTGGCCTAAACCAACTGTTGTGGATTTCGTTGTCTGGTGACGTTGTGTTTTCGTTTCACCACCACATGCTTTTCTCAGAACTCACCGATCCTATGTCAGCTAGCTAAGATTTCCCGTCGAGTAAGGCGGTCGATGGCTAGGCTAGGATGCGCGACACATGCCCTAGACATCTTAATCGATGTAACTTCACAAACTCGACGTTCGACTTTCCCTCACTCCTTAACTAGAACTCGACGATGCCTAACCTCAATACGATATTACTCACCGTATCATACCATACCATCTAACACGGGATGTAGGTACAACACAGACACGTATGATGAAAGACAGCTAGCTAAGCTTTCCATGTTTTTCACGGTCAATGGCCACGTCTCACTCACAGCTATAAAAGAGTAGGTGGGAACGAATTGGTGAGCAGTATACACGTCTTTTGGTCGACGGCCAGCTGGATATCACGTCTACTGTATCCATTCTGAGATTTCGTCAGCGATCAACGCACTGGGACTGCCTAATGCAACTTTCCAAATAAGTGAAGTGGTCGACACGCTCTACCACTTCACTCCTGCCTGTCTTTAAGCTTGGAGTCGATGGAGTGCGGCCCTGTAGTATGACAAGTGCGAATCACATGCCAAACATTCGATGACTGCAGCTCAAGGTGTTTTGAAGACTTCGTTTTTTTCAGTGTCTTCACCTAGGAAGGATCACTACATCATCCACATAGTAATGGTAACAAGTCAATCTGAGTCGCTGAAGTCAGTCAGGACTGAGTCCATTAGTACATCTATGATGAAATTAAACAGAAATGGGGGTTCCAGCACAGAAGTACAACGAGAAGTTTGTTGACACACTACATGTAGCTCAAAAAGTTAGATAAAAGAAACGAAGAAAAACTCAAGAGAATTATAATGTGCAGAAATGTACGGGAGAAAGAATATCATTAACATGGGGAAACATAAACGTTTAATGGATAAGGGACATTTGTTTAAATTTCTCTACAGGAATACAATTAACAGAAACGAAACTATTCAATTCCTGCAAAGTTTAAGAATACGATCACTAAAACGACAACACAACATACCTTAAAACACGAGTGAATAAGAAGTAGAAACTGTCAGCTAATAGAAGCAGGAATAATCATAGTACCGAAGAAAGTGAAATTCCCCCGGAAAATTAGAGGAAGAATCTAGTAATGATACTGACATTTTTTGTGCATCGACCACGCAAGTGGTCTGGGGTTCGATCCCCGGCTGATGCACTCTTTTGCCTCGCTAAGCCGGTAGTAGGACTGGTAAAGAGGAAAGGTTGGGTATGAGACTAGCAACCCCAACCTGTAAAAATAATCACCACTGCTACAGAAACATCGAGCCACGTAAAGGAATAAGAAACAGAAAATAAAAAATTTTGAGGTGGTCGTTAGCCGCTCTGTGTTGTAAGAAGTGTAAGCACATTTAAAGTGTGCAGTCGGAATAAACACTTAATTAGTTCGTTTTTTAGCTTCAAAGGGTAGACCAAATAAGAGAAATACAATGGATCTACCTAAGATAAAAGATCGAGAGCACTTCAACCAATTTCACCATAGTCGACGACTGAAAATTCCAAATTTATCTGCAGACATATGCACCCACCAGATTTATAAACAAATGTCGTTTAACCTTTAAAGTTATAATTGTTTCAAGTCAAAATCTGCATATCATATGTCCATTTACTAGTCAATAAAACGATTTACGAAAAAATGATGTAACGATTCTCTGTTTTCATTCACATTATCGTACATTATGTCTGATAACAATATAAACAATATCTCTGAACACAAGATGAAATACCTAGAAATGTCTGTCTAGTTAAGATGGGTAAGCATACCCCTAATAAATAGCATCATTTAAATATCAGGAAACATGGAATCAACCATTTATTAAACACTGTGCACTAATGATATATGTTGGACAAATTCACTTGTTCCACTTGCTGCTATTCATAAGACAACAAAGATAAAAGTCATCATACATAAAGTAAAAAAGTTAAGAAGGAATAATTAACAATTTGATGTCACTGAGCTATAATCGGACTGGGAAAGAAGTCTGAATTTCCTTAAGATTCTGATTGAAAGAGTCTGAATGGCATACTGTGCGCTGAGACAGTTGCTGACCAATTGATTAGTTACTATGCATTAGTTTTACACATACATGAGCATTGAATATAGGATCCAGATCCCGTTTACAGACTTTTAAATACTCGTGTCTAAAACTGATAACACAAAGTTGGACTACATAATTTACCTGTTCCTAAACGACCACAATGTCACTCCAAAAATGTAAGTAATAAACAACTTCTGAAGGAAGGTAGGACACATATAGAACAGTATTGATGACCACTATAAAATTACTTGGGTAATATTAAGACAGAAAAAACACGAAACAGGTCACACTATTCCACCATAGTATTCAAACGAGAATGGAGATTAAATTGGTTAGTTGTTAGTGCAACTGAAAATTATCAGTGATACTGAGTGCAAACTAGTTGTATTCCAAATTGCCACGCACTTAGACATCTGAACATGTTATCCATATCAGTAAAAAGTTTGAGCATTGTGGATTAGATCAAATAAAGTATAATTATATTTTAATAGTTTACACACAATGATATGTTTTGTTATTGGTAATATTTCGAGCAAAATTACTGCCCGTGTTCACACCACTGTTGGAATTGTTTAAAATATAATTATACTATATTTGATGTTATCCATACATCAAATACTTTTACACAAAGAGTAATACTTAACTAATAATTTGAGTTTTCTAAACCTCATGTCAAGTGAACGCAATGATATATAATAAAAAGGATTGAAAAACATGATTTATTGACTGAACAAAAACACAAAGATGAGTGAGGATTGGAGAGGTTTCGTGTGCATTTCGGATTGTGAGGGCGATTGTTACTTCCCGGCTGCCCACACCGTAGAAGGCAAAACATAAAATAAAATCAGTTCCAGCCAGTTATTCGTGTTGCACACTTCATGAGATCCCATTCGTCAAGCTCGTCGAAAAACTTGGGCGATGGTTTTGCTTCGAATACCGATGACAAGTATGTATGCTGAGTGAAACCTGCCAGTGTTAGGTTTTGATATCAAATATTCATTGATTTATACAAAAACATAATCGCATAAGTCAATGAATATCTGATATTAAAACCTAACACTGGCAGGTTTCACTCAGCATACATACTTGTCATCGGTATTCGAAGCAAAACCATCGCCCAAGTTTTTCGACGAGCTTGACGAATGGGATCTCATGAAGTGTGCAACACGAGTAACTGGCTGGAACTTATTTCAAACAACAAAAGCTAAGTAATGGAGCTACTAAATCGCACATAACACATATCCCATAGATTGCCGCACTATAAAAGCTGCAGTGTACAACTATTTCTACACAGTTAACTGACACGCCTTTTGACAGTAAAACGGTCAATTTAGTGAAGTGAAACTACTACGAAGGAGAGAAAACATTAAACTGAAATTTAATTGAAGACTTTGTCGAACACTTACCTTAACCATCTGATCACGTCCACATGTAAGAAGCTCAGGATTTGACGATGACGCAGAAGCGCCTTGGCACCATACAATATGACAGATATCCGCCTCATGAGCATAAATGCGGGTCAACTGTACGATGCTTGGAGTCGAAAAAATATCCGACGGTCCAAATGAATAAACACACACTATTCCCCTCTTGTAACCGACGGCAACTCGCGAAATGGAAGGAACTACTGTAGATTTCTCCCATGCACACATCACAACAGGATCGTCTTCAAATTTTTTAGATACATGGTAAGATTTGTTTGTATTACAGTCAGCAACCCATACTAAAAGCAACCCTTTATCTGTGCCCACAAAGTTGTACGACTCATTTGCAGAGTTGGAGAAACAGCTGACAGCCGTTGGGCTGATATTTCCCTGCACATTATGCATATTAAACTCGGTCTCTAGCACCCATTCTTGACTGAAATACGTCCAGCGTCGAACCAAACCATCAAGACCACACGAAACTACACGTAAACAAGCACACTCATCAAAGGCTACTGCCGATATCTTGCCTTGATGGGGTACTATCTGACCCACGCAACTCCATGAATAGTTCGGTTGACACTCCACGTTCGTTTCTTGTTTAACGATGAAGATGTGTATATAAGAACGGGAAGTAAACGCAACAAAAGCACATCCTCCATCGTTATGAGTTTGCCATTTCGTGACAGCCACCACGTTTGACTGGAACCAGTCTGGTGAACCTGTCAAAATATATTTGGCGATTTCGCGATACTCCTGAATTACGTGAATTAGTGTCACACCGAACTTACCATTAGGATGTAACACACAAGGGCAACGGCCACAACCAACGAAGGGAAAAGAGGAAGGGGGCGAGGTAGAGATGCTTATTTAAACCAAACGAGGCTTGAATTAGCCGGGTACAAAGCTAATTATCATCGTTTGTAACAAGTCTGGACAAACGATCTTCCTCCTGCTCCAGTAAGGCCACGTCAGCCTTTCTTTCTGAAAAAGAAGAAGAAAACCTATTTAGTGACATTATGGTGGTTTTTATTCCAGTACAAGGAGCTAATGTAACGCAACCTTTACAGTCCCGCAACTTCCAATATCCGAGATACTCGAGCTTACTCAGATTTCAGGTTTACTGTATGAGTAGAGAAGGCTTGGAGCCTATGTTAATCCTTTTCTAGTAAATTTCTGTGGCTGTCCAAACCCTCCTTGAGTGAATCCGTTGAGGTTGCAGAAACCACCTTTTCTGGGAGTCGGTTCCAAGGGTTTATGATTTGGTGTGAGAACCAGTACTCCGCAGAGCTATGGCTTCTCCTTGACTTTCGAACTCTCCTGCTATGTCTTCCAAGGTGTTCTTTCTTAAGACAAGGACTGGCTGCCTGGATACAGTTTTCTAGTCTTGACCTCACCGGCGATGTATGTGAACATATCTCTGGCGATTCTGGCAAAGGCTCTGCGAATTGCCCATAAGGACCTGAAACTACGTGCAGCCACCGCGAAACAGTGTGCTTTAGTTTTTACATCGTGACTAACTGTGACACCTAAGTCCAGGTGAGCCTGAACTGATGGAAGTGTTATTCCCTCTAGTTCATAGGAGCTGATACTTGTTTGTCCGATGCGCATGGTTGCACGTTTCACTACATTGATCGGGAGCATCCGTTCTATGGACCACTCCGACAATTTATTGAGGTCCTCTTACAACCTGGACGTATCACCGTTGGCCTTCAGCCCTCTCCAAATTTTTAAGTCATCTGCGTTTAGGGCCATAGAGGAGTCGGTGAGCAGTGATAACCCATTAACATACAAAACAAATAGGAGAGGTCCGAGTGCCGTGCCTTGTGGCACTCCACTACGTGCTGTTGTTCGAGAGGAGAATTTCGAGTTAATCCCAGCCCTCTGCGTCCTATCTATAAGGGTTTTGAAATGACGCCTCCTTCTGAATTTGACTCACTACGCGAACGGTTGAAGTGCACTATCGTTCTCTGAGCATTGTTGTCGTCTTCTTGAATTATTAAAGTTGGCAGCCGTTTCCGATGGTAGGGGTTCTATAGTCGTCAGCATTCGCTGTTTCTCATTCTTAGCATCTCCCTGCACGCCAAAAGTGCCGTGCTCTTTGTCGTTCCCTATAATAAATGGGATGGAACAGTCCTTCAGTATAAGAGTCCCCTGACCACAATCTATTATTCCGGACAGCTTTTCCAGGAGGTCGACTCCCAAGATTACCTGCCACGGCACCCGGGTAGAGATGGGGAAATTGTGTTGAAGTGACAGTGTTCCCAATTCAAGTGGCAGCAGGACCAGTCCCTGGGATTGCATGCAATCTCCATTGGCTATCGTAAGCCGCAAATTGTGAGTCCCTATTGCACGCCTAAACGTCTCTGGAACACATGAGGAATGTATGACAGAACAAGTTGCTCCTGAGTCAACTAACATAACACACTTTTTTCCACCTATATAACCTACAACTTTCGGGGAGGAGGTGAAACCGATTAGGTTTACAGTAGGCACACAATTCATATCGACATGTGACTCACCTGCATTGTGACCACAACTCCTAGCAAGCTTACCAAACCGCCTGCAGTAGTAGCAATCGTTTCTTGAAGTGGATTGCGACTGTGGGCGTCCTTTCCACGGTGGTGTAGGATTCTGTGCATGCTTTGTTGTTGTATGCTGATATCCCATTGCGTTTACTTATGGGCATGTGGTTCCTGGCTCTTCCAGGCTTTCCACTAGGCGTGCCCTAGCTTCCGCTTCTGCCATGGATGTTGGAGTGTGCAAGTTGAAGTCCTTCCTGTAACGGACGTCGACACCCTGCAAGAACTTGGAATATATAGCGTTTTCAACCTCTGAATATGTCTTGTCCTGCATAGCTTGACGCGCAAGCTTGCGGAGACGTAAGGTGAACTGGTTGATAGATTCACCTTGTCTCTGCTTACACTCGCTGAATCTTTTCAGCGCTTCAATGGGAGGTATTGGTGGCACTATACGTGCTCTTAGAGTACTCAACAGGGTGGTCAAGGGCATATGCACGTAATCCAAACCAATTGTGTACATTTCCAAGGACCGTCCCACAGAATCGATGACGAATGCGTTCGGGTGAGGCACGTTCATCAGATCAATGTATCGGCACACCTTGTCCGACCACAGCTCGAAATCATCACCCACCTCCAGTGTATGTGGCAAGGGATGGACATATCGCGAAGCAGGCTGATTTGACTGAAAAGCTGGAGCCCTCACTTCAGCTAATTGATCCACCTCGTTGGATGCTGTCTCTTTGACAGGCGAAGTGTTCTTGGAAGCCTCATTGGGTCGAGACTTCGAAGAAGAAAGTTTTTTCGTTGGCAGGCTCGCCATTTATGTAATCCCACTCGTCAAGCAATGATCTGAAACAGAGAGCAAAGCGCACGTTAGCAGCGTGATCACACAAGTGTTGCGTGCTAGTAAGAACGAAGACTCAAGGTCAAGTATTATATTTACAACCAATCGCAATACAATTAGATAAGAGGGAAGGGGAACTCCTATTGGTCATCCGTTGCCTCGTCGTGGGTATCCAATCCCTGCATACTTCGCAGCCAACCTGAAAGTAGACAAGCATGGTTTGAACATTAGAAAACCGCCAAACTTACCATGCCTTACACAAACGAGGCTTGAATTAGCCGGGTACAAAGCTAATTGTCATCGTTTGTAACAAGTCTGGACAAACGATCTTCCTCCTGCTCCAGTAAGGCCACGTCAGCCTTTCTTTCTGAAAAAGAAGAAGAAAACCTATTTAGTGGCATTATGGTGGTTTTTATTCCAGTACAAGGAGCTAATGTAACGCAACCTTTACAGTCCCGCAACTTCCAATATCCGAGACACTCGAGCTTACTCAGATTTCAGGTTTACTGTATGAGTAGAGAAGGCTTGGAGCCTATGTTAATCCTTTTCTAGTAAATTTCTGTGGCTGTCCAAACCCTCCTTGAGTGAATCCGTTGAGGTTGCAGAAACCACCTTTTCTGGGAGTCGGTTCCAAGGGTTTATGATTTGGTGTGAGAACCAGTACTCCGCAGAGCTATGGCTTCTCCTTGACTTTCGAACTCTCCTGCTATGTCTTCCAAGGTGTTCCTTCTTAAGACAAGGACTGGCTGCCTGGATACAGTTTTCTAGTCTTGACCTCACCGGCGATGTATGTGAACATATCTCTGGCGATTCTGGCAAAGGCTCTGCGAATTGCCCATAAGGACCTGAAACTACGTGCAGCCACCGCGAAACAGTGTGCTTTAGTTTTTACATCGTGACTAACTGTGACACCTAAGTCCAGGTGAGCCTGAACTGATGGAAGTGTTATTCCCTCTAGTTCATAGGAGCTGATACTTGTTTGTCCGATGCGCATGGTTGCACGTTTCACTACATTGATCGGGAGCATCCGTTCTATGGACCACTCCGACAATTTATTGAGGTCCTCTTACAACCTGGACGTATCACCGTTGGCCTTCAGCCCTCTCCAAATTTTTAAGTCATCTGCGTTTAGGGCCATAGAGGAGTCGGTGAGCAGAGATAACCCATTAACATACAAAATAAATAGGAGAGGTCCGAGTGCCGTGCCTTGTGGCACTCCACTACGTGCTGTTGTTCGAGAGGAGAATTTCGAGTTAATCCTAGCCCTCTGCGTCCTATCTATAAGGGTTTTGAAATGACGCCTCCTTCTGAATTTGACTCACTACGCAAACAGTTGAAGTGCACTATCGTTCTCTGAGCATTGTTGTCGTCTTCTTGAATTATTAAAGTTGGCAGCCGTTTCCGATGGTAGGGGTTCTATAGTCGTCAGCATTCGCTGTTTCTCATTCTTAGCATCTCCCTGCACGCCAAAAGTGCCGTGCTCTTTGTCGTTCCCTATAATAAATGGGATGGAACAGTCCTTCAGTATAAGAGTCCCCTGACCACAATCTATTATTCCGGACAGCTTTTCCAGGAGGTCGACTCCCAAGATTACCTGCCACGGCACCCGGGTAGAGATGGGGAAATTGTGTTGAAGTGACAGTGTTCCCAATTCAAGTGGCAGCAGGACCAGTCCCTGGGATTGCATGCAATCTCCATTGGCTATCGTAAGCCGCAAATTGTGAGTCCCTATTGCACGCCTAAACGTCTCTGGAACACATGAGGAATGTATGACAGAACAAGTTGCTCCTGAGTCAACTAACATAACACACTTTTTTCCACCTATATAACCTACAACTTTCGGGGAGGAGGTGAAACCGATTAGGTTTACAGTAGGCACACAATTCATATCGACATGTGACTCACCTGCATTGTGACCACAACTCCTAGCAAGCTTACCAAACCGCCTGCAGTAGTAGCAATCGTTTCTTGAAGTGGATTGCGACTGTGGGCGTCCTTTCCACGGTGGTGTAGGATTCTGTGCATGCTTTGTTGTTGTATGCTGATATCCCATTGCGTTTACTTATGGGCATGTGGTTCCTGGCTCTTCCAGGCTTTCCACTAGGCGTGCCCTAGCTTCCGCTTCTGCCATGGATGTTGGAGTGTGCAAGTTGAAGTCCTTCCTGTAACGGACGTCGACACCCTGCAAGAACTTGGAATATATAGCGTTTTCAACCTCTGAATATGTCTTGTCCTGCATAGCTTGACGCGCAAGCTTGCGGAGACGTAAGGTGAACTGGTTGATAGATTCACCTTGTCTCTGCTTACACTCGCTGAATCTTTTCAGCGCTTCAATGGGAGGTATTGGTGGCACTATACGTGCTCTTAGAGTACTCAACAGGGTGGTCAAGGGCATATGCACGTAATCCAAACCAATTGTGTACATCTCCAAGGACCGTCCCACAGAATCGATGACGAATGCGTTCGGGTGAGGCACGTTCATCAGATCAATGTATCGGCACACCTTGTCCGACCACAGCTCGAAATCATCACCCACCTCCAGTGTATGTGGCAAGGGATGGACATATCGCGAAGCAGGCTGATTTGACTGAAAAGCTGGAGCCCTCACTTCAGCTAATTGATCCACCTCGTTGGATGCTGTCTCTTTGACAGGCGAAGTGTTCTTGGAAGCCTCATTGGGTCGAGACTTCGAAGAAGAAAGTTTTTTCG